GGCGACATGCGCAGTCACGTGTTACCTTCTACTCAGGATGCAAATGGGGCTCCGGAACAGATCCCGTTCGCATCCAGAGGTACCACTGTATGGTGTAGTGGTAAATCCTTAAGTGCAGGCTATGTTCATGACAGTCCCCATAGCCATGCCCCCCACAAGACTACAACAAAAGCAATATTTTATCCAGTGCAGACTTTCTTGCTTAGCCCCTCATCCCCTTGCTTAACATCTAGCATGACCACTATTTTGCCGCAGGTTCGTTGGCCAGAATAAAATAATTTTGGTTTTCTAAAAAATAAAAGTGGCAACTTTTACACATACTTGGTAATGTAACCCCTTGGCTTATTTGGTTCGTTTCTCTCTGAAAGAAAGCCTATTTATTTGGTTTGTAGAAGACAGAGAAATTGATGGCTCTCTGCCTCCTGCCATGTTGGTCATTTGCTACTTTGTGTCACAGTGACACAAGACTGGAGAGCCAGTCCTGACATTTCATTTTAGGGCAAAGGTTCCATGTCCTGTTCATATGAGGGTTCATGGCAGGAAGAGCTTAAACAAGATCAAAGATTGGGAAGCCAGGCAGTCAGCTTTTCTCCTGCCACAGGAGTGTCTTACACAGATACTGAATTCAGTAAGGAAACCAAGGAGGCTCAAGGATGAAGTGCTATAGAAATTTGCAGGTTATTTATTTCTCTCAGTTGCTTACACATACAAAGTACTGAAGGGGTAAATATATCTTTTTTATATTCCAACTCATGAGATTGGACTACATGACCCTTGGGGTCCCTTCCAACTCAGAGAATAGCAACCAAGATTTATTTATTATTATTTGTTTATTAAATTTATATACTGCCCTTCCCACATGTGCATTTAAAAGGTTGTAGAATAATCAGCCAAAGCCTGGGAGAAGAATGTTTTTGCCTGGCGCCTAAAAATATATAATGAGGGTGCCAGGCAAACATTCCTGGGGAGAGCATTCCATAAATGGGGAGCCACTGCAGAAAAAGGCCTGTTCCCGTGTTGCTGGCCTCCAGACCTCACTTGGAGGAGGCATACGAAGAAGGGCCTCAGAGGATGAACAGAGTCCAGGACAGTTTATATGAGGAGAGGCTGTCCTTGAGGTACTGTGGTCCTGAGCCTTTTAAGGCTTTATCGGTCAAAACCAGCACTTTGAATTGGGTCTGGAAGCTAATTGGCAGCCAGTGCAGTTGGGCCAGGATTGGTGTAAAACGATCAAAAGTCTGGAAATCAAGCCTTGTGAGGAACAGTTGAAAGAACTGGGTATGTTCAGCCTGGTAAAAAGGAGACTGAAATGAGATATAATAGCCATCTTTGCATATCTAATGGGCTGTCACATGGAGAATGGAGCAAGCTTTTTTTCTTCTGCTAGGGAGGGTAGACCTGAACCAGTGGATTCAAATTACAAGAAATAAGATTCCAACTTAACATCAGGAAGAACTTTCTGACAGTAAGAGATGTTTAGCAGTGGAATTGACTTCTTCAGAAGGTGGTGGACTCACCTTCCTTAGAGATTTTTAAGCAGAGGTTGGATGGCCATCAATCATGGATGCTTTAGTTGAGATTCCTGCATTGCAGGGGGTTGGACTAGATGATGCTCGTCTCCCTTCCAAGTACACAACTCTATGATCATAATAGCAGAAGTTCCACAAGGCCCACTCTCACATTCTTGGAATATCAGACAATTTTTGATCAGTGACAATATTTTATTGGTCAGTTGATAAGCATGCCAACCCTAGCTGCTTTTAAATCTATTCCTACATTTCTTACAAGGGGAGATCCATTTTAAGAGGGGGAGAGAGATGAATGTATAAGGGATCTGGAAAGGAAAAAGCTATTTTTTACAGTCTTGATCATGAAAACTGCTGTGAAATATGATAGCATCAAAAATAAATGTGACAGTGGTTTAAAAATCTGGGATTTTGAGAAGAAGCATTGTATTGGCACTCCTGAACTATGGTTCATATTATCATCCCAAATACTATAGAATTCACCAGAATTGCTTGTAGTAAGTCAGAACAGCCCCCAAGAGCTAATAAGATGAAACTGTGCTGTCTCAGTTCTTCTGAACAAAACAGAGCTGGCAGCTTCCTCTGTTGCCACCTAGGATAGCTGGCTCAGCAGACTGATGTTTATTCTTAGCCTCTAGCATTGCTGTATCCCTAGGTGAGGAAAGGAGAAACTATAGTGAAGTGTGAAATAAAGGGTTGAACTGTTTATCATATATGTTTGATCCTTGTATTACTGTTTAAATGGGAACACATTTAGAATCAGTCTAAATTTAGATGAGTGGAGAGTATATATAGTTCAGGGACAGAGCATCTGCTTTGCATGGACATCGTCTTATGTTCAATTCTTTACATCTCTAGTTGAAGATTCCCAGGTATTAAACCATACTGGATAGCTGGGCCAATTGTTATATGTTCTTAATCCCAGGGCCAGTATCTTCCATGTTGAAATGCATCTGAGGTCATAAATGATATGATTGAAACCCTGCTGGGATTGTAACTTGAGAGCTCAGTCTTGCACCCATTTAGCATACCTGTGAAATGGAAACAAAATTTTTAAAAAATTATTTTGTTTCAACTACGGCAGACCAACACGGCTACCTACCTGTAACTGTGAAATGGAGAAATTGTTGCTTCATAGTTTATACTTGCTACACTGAAGACAAAGCTAGACCTATTATTACTCTCACAAATACTCTCACTATAGCAGGCAACAGAAGTTACCAGCTGATACTCAGTCAGTGGATGCATTGGAGAACATGTCAGCCTGACTGCAAAATTAATGCATACTTTTTACCTTCCAGTAAAAAGATGTTGTTTATCCGCGTTAGCAGAGGCCATTACCCTTTTATACAGATTTCATTGATTTGGCTGCAGGCTTTTAACACTCTGAGAGGTCACCTTAGATGCTATATAGAACATTACCTCTGGCATCTATTGTTGGCTGCTTATTGGCTCCACAAACAGTGCCCTTTGATTTTATTATTATACTGGGGAAATTTCCCTAATTAGTTCTGCTTCAGAGTGAGAACCGTATATAACTTGGTTGTCCTCATGGATAAGTGTTCAAAAACTAGCAGCTTCATTTAGCTGGTCTCTTGACATACATTCTGAATGTTTCTACTTCTGTGTTGCTTTCAAGTGGCATCAAATGTCATTGCATGCTTGTTTTGTTGCTTGAGTGCCAAAAGGCTGACTTTGAATGACATCCCACATACCAGACTTTCCACAACTTCAGGCATCTTTTTGCACAGAGATTTTCTCATGGGCTGCTTCCCTTGCTGTTCTTCCAAGTTGCAGATGTAGCTTTGCTACCTCATTCAAAACCATGTAGTATCTTTGCATTAGCAAAAGCAGTTGTGTTGTGTATGAGTGAGTTTTTAATATTGTTGGAACTTAACTTGGTTTCACTATAAAATTATTGTGTTCTTGTTACCCTCTGTTGACCAACACACTCTGTTCTGACGACTTTCAAGTGTTCCACAAACAGCTATAACTGTGGGTGGGAGAAGAGAGCATGCTGTTGTTTTAACTTTTACTCCTCATAATACTGGAAAGATTCCAGGCAAAATCAGCTAAATACATCATTTTTTCAGCAACTGTACAGATGCTTATGACTTTCCCACAAAAATTCAAAGGTTGCCTTATACTTTATAAGAAAAGAAGCAGCAACACTTACCGTAGCTTTCATATCTTGACCTGTTCTAGTCCAGCTCGGGTCAGGTCTAGTTATTGGACTGAATAAGCCTTGGTTGCCCTGATAAATTACCTTTCTATCAGAAGATGGACAAACGATTGCAACCTTGTTATATTTTCTTGATCTGTCACCATCTTTTGATACCATTCACCTTCATATCTTCCTGAACTGACTGGGGCACTATTTTACAGTAGTTCTGGTCCTATTGTAATAGTTGATTTCAGAGAATAGAATTAGGTAATTAACTCTTGACCCCCTGGCAGTTATGCTGTGGGGCACCACACCAGAAGGTACCATTTTGCCTCCAGTGCTATTTAAGATCTACATGAAGCCACTGGGAGTAGTCATTAGGAGATTTGGGTAGGTAATCCCTAATTTTATTTCTTTGTAACATATGATTCAGCACCGTTGGCGAGTACTTCCTGGGTCCAGATAATTGGTCAATTGCCTACTTTGGATGGGATTGTATTCTCTCTGAAGGAGCAGGTACAATTGTCTCAGGGTGCTTTTGGATCCATCTCTCCAGGTGACCTCGGTGGCTATAAGTGCCTTGTAGCAGCTTCAGCTGGTAAGACAGCTATTATTGCCATTTCTGGATCAGGATAGCCTAGTCACTGTTGTCCATGCATTGGTAACTTCCAGATTATTATATTTTTCATTTAAAAAGTTGTAACTAAAAAATTTACAACTGTAATTTAAAACAAACAGAAGGTTAAAATTGCAATAAATTAGATAAAAATGCATTGAAACTTCTACAAAATTTCTAAACATTTGGGTAGGCTTGTCTAAATAAGAATGTCTTCAACAGGCCTCAAAGACTGCAATACACTCCATGTGGAGCTGTCCTGGAGATTGACCCAGAAGCTGCAGCTAGGGCAAAATGCAACAGCTCAGTGGCTCTCTGGGGCAGCATATCAGCATCATATTATGCCCTTGCTGAAATAATTGCACCGGTTGCCACTTAGGTCCCAAGCCAAGTTCAAGGTGCTGACATTGGTGTTCAAAGTTTGCTTGAGACATGACAAGGATACTGTTTCATTGCTTATATATACATCATATCACTGCATTATTTAGAAGAGGGTAACCTACAGGTACCATACTATTAGGAGGTCCTTTCTGAACCATATTGCAACCAAGTCTTTAAGTGTGACAGCACCTACTTTTTGGAACTCCTTCATGTTTCATATCAGACAGACACTGTCTTTAATGTATTTTCTGTGCCTGTTGAATACTTTCTTCTTTCCATAAGCCTACTAAGTGGACTCTTCCCCCCCCCATTCATTTCTGAGTTCATTTGAAATTCTTTTAACTTTTTATTTATTGTAGTAAAGTAAAATACTATGAGATGCTTCATAGTAAGCAATTTATAACTAAAATAAATAATAGTAATCATAATATATCATTTTAGACCGTTCTAATGCTTCACACCTTTTCAACATCCCTGCAAGGTAAGGCAGCATTATTACTCATATGTATTGCAGTTTTAGAGTGCTGAAACTCAAAGGATGGACTTAGAGGATTGTGCCTCACCTGAGCCCACCTGGAAAATTCATGGCATGTTACTGGTTTACTCCTAGTAAATTCCTAGAGAGATTTGGGTGGGAGTCTTCTTTGTTCAAGTTAGTCTACTAGCCCTGCTGCAGAACCAATTGTATGAAACTGTAAATTAGATAATGCATATATGTACATGTAATGGTGATCTGGGAGGGATTGAGCCTATGCCTTTGCATCTTTTACACATGTATTTTCTACTTATAAATTCATTTGTACCCACAAAAATATAACAAAGGGTCTGTAAATTAGGCAACAAATATTAATTGATTGATTGATTTTAAATTCTCACTAAGCTTTTAGTGTTTAGTGCACCGTTAGTTTAAAGTCTTATCGGCAACAACAAAAAGCTTCATAAACTTTTCAAAAAAGTATTGTTTGTTGTGATCTTACTTGGGACCCTCATTCAGATTGTTGGCACTTGTCTTTCTCAAGGGGCAATAGAGTGTGCCTCTGGGGGTGAAGACTAACTGCTGCATTAGCAGCACTGAAGTGATGTCACCGTAGCATAAGCCTGTGCTGTGTGTATGGAGCTCTTAGGGCTGCCCAGAAAACAAGACCCCACTCTCAGCCTTGCTGATGTGGTCCAAAGGAAAGGAAAGCAATACATTTGACACCAGCTGGGCTGCTGGAGTTGCCGGAAGGTGGCGTACAAGGTGCCATCCAGCTGTCTTAGGGATTCCACTTTGGATTTGTGTAGAGTCTACTCCTTAGCCTTTTCTCCTCCCAAAGATATCCTGCAAGGCAGCAGAGGTTTAGGATCAGAGTTTTCCTTCTCCCAGATGGGCTACCTTCATAGATTGACAAGCCCCATCGCCCCTCACTTGCCTCTACAGCATGTGTAGAAATCGCCTTCCTTGCCGTTAGACCCAGTATTGGTCTCATCTGCTCAATCCGCCAGAGCCTGTCTTCACGTACAGGGGAAGTCCTGGCCTAACTCATGGAGTGTTTGAGACCCATTGGCTACCCTCACCTGGTTTAGCTGGCCTGTCGAAGCCATTGCCGGGTTGTCGCTGCTGTTGCATGCTGACAGCTTCTAGGAGCCACAGGTGAGAGCTGATGGGGACCAAAGGTGGAGAAACTACTCCAGAAGGAGCACGGTGTGTTCCGTACCAGCAGTATTACCCTTTCCTAACGCTCCATACACCCCATATTAATCATCCAGTTTACTACTCATAATTATACCTGCTTGGTAACTTTGGTAATGCTGCCTGGATCAGCTGCAAGTGACTCTGATCCTCTGTCTGTGTCCTGTATGTGCATGTGAGACTGTGGGGTGACCACACCTTCTGCTGATATGCAGCTCCTGGACCCCAACATGTTAGTCTCCTTGAATTACTGGCTCCATGGGAAGCTTTATAAATTTAGATTTTTTTAAAAAAATGAAACTACATCTTGGAAATTTGTAGTGAAACTTTTTGCTTTTTTGTTAGCTATGTGCCGCAGCCAGGATCTAAGTCTTCCTGTCCTGCAGCAGGCAGAGCATGTCTTCTGTGAGATCTTTGTGGAGGTCATAATATAGCACAGTTCTGGAGGGTACAGAGCCTTTCATAGAGTATATATCCTAGAAGGGATTGAAAGTCAATCACATGGGAAAGATAATCTTTTGAAGCTCCGAAATGCAATCAGAATTTAGTTCCATGCCTAGCCTGTAATCAAGGGTATGATCAGCAGAACAGGCAGACCCTCTCCAATAATAGGAACATTACCTAGCTTAGTGTAGCATCTCTGTGATTATCTTAACATTGCTTGAAAAGGAACTAGAGCATGCTAAACCTGGATGTACAAGAATGTTGTTTTTCCACACTCCAAAGTAGCTCTCCAATACTTTCTCCATGTTGCTTTCCAAAGCTCTCAAGACCTTGCAGCCTGTTAGTGACAAGCATGAGGAGGTTGAAGTCTAGGGAGCTAAGCCCAAAGGAGGCAGTCAAGGGTCAGCCAAGGTCCACTTTTCCCTTAAACTCAAATTTCTTTTCCCGTAGAGTGGTCAAAAGGGAGTGATTCAAGTCCAGTAAGAAGCAAACTTTTCTCCATCCTGGCAGGAAATGATGAAATCATCATAGTATGCAAATTGTCTTTACAAATAGATGTTAATATCCATATAGGAAAAGGTCGCTTTGATTCTGACTGTCCAGTCTCTGAGGCAGTTTAGATGATAGCCCTCCTTGTTCAAGTGTACCTCCTCCCCTCCTTGCATATAGAGTGCAATTTCTAAATTTGGCAGTGCCTTATTTATTGGCAGTGCCATCTTTCCGTGATACCATGATGAAAGATTTTAGATAAGAGAATTAGGGAGAACCTGCAGTAAATTGCAATTCATGAGATATATTCTATATAACAAATAATATTTGTTATTTTCAAGGTATTGTACAGTAAATAAAATTAAAGGAAGGTGAAAGTGAAATAAAAGCAAATTCTATTTTATGAATGGAAAGGGAAGTGGGGAGGGAGCCAGTTTCCCATTGAATCTCCTGATTGCAGTGTGAATACAGATATTGAGAATGAATATTGCTTGAACATGCCCAGGATCCAAGTATTCTGGAAAAAAAGTTGATTCGAGTTAGTGGCTATTGCAATACCCACTAGCAGTGTATTTCCCTACCCTGTAAGACGAATGTCCTCATTCAGGGCTCCAGGTTGCTTAGACCAAAAGATGTATTTGACATCTGGGAGGGTTTCAGGAGAAGAAAAGTGAAACAAACACCTACCCACTTGGCTTTTCTTTGCTACCCTATAAAGCACTAGACAGCTCAGGGTGATCTTAAGCGTTTAATTGCTGTATAGTGCAGGAGGTGTTCTGAAGAGTGGAACTGGAAAATGTGTTCATTTTCCTTTTCTTGGAAACATTCCTATATAGTGCAGGAAGAGAAATATTTTCTGCTTTAAACTGATCTCACACATACCCTTCCAGAATACTTACTAAAGGCTACATTGAGCTAGTAATTTCCTGCTTTTCTCCCGGAGTACATTTTCCTCAGTGGCGTAGCATGGGTTGTCAGCACCCGGGGCAAGGCAAGTAATTTGCGCCCCCTAACCCGTGGATTTTAGTAGGGGCAGAGAGCTGTGAGTGCCCCCCCTGCACCCCCCACGCTACGCCACTGATTTTCCTTCCCCCACCTTCAACTGGCACACTAACATTTTGTGTCTCAGCTCACTCACAGTCTGTCCTGGTTCTTTTAGAACTTTTCCTTTGTCTCCTGAGGTGGAAGTGAAATCTACCCATAGGGAAAAAGCCATAGGATTTAGCACAGTGGGGGTTATGCATCATTTGCCCCCAAAACTAAAGGATAGTGAATACACAGGAACTCCTATCTTTCATGTTAAATGCGGTCATGGAAATTTCATCTTCAGGTAACAGGATGAGTAATAGAATATTTCTTATTTCTGTAGGCACAGCTGTCATCCACATTCCATGAGTTAAGGAAGTTCACAAACCTTTGAGCCATTTTCAATTGTTTTTTTTAAATACTGTTCTTTCCTGCTGCAAACTTATATAGTTCTGTATAACTGAAGAAGTCCCTTGAGTATGTACCATTACCTTAGTTTTGGGTGGCCCTGTTTCACTTACAAGCTGATAAGCACTCAACTGCCTGAGTCCACTATTAAAGGGGAAGATTCTTGGTGATTCAGGGGATTTGAAAGTAATAAAAGCCTAGTAGCTAATTGTAATAATTAAAAAACAACAACCCAGAAAGAGAGGTCCATTGTAAATCTAGATTGAATTTCTATTTTCTTAATAGTTTGTGTCTATTAATATACAGTACCATGCTTTCTAGCTGTTTTCTTCAACAGGTTTGCAAGCTGATATTCTTGGAAGGAAAATCAACAACTCTCTATATCTGTGTCTGCATCTCTGTATCAATATGTTCTATTGAATTTCCCTATTCTTACTGCAGTTTTACTATTTTGTTCAGGGCATCTAACATATGGCTGAAAAATAACATTATTTGATAAGTATATTATAGTTAAGTTCTTCCTTAGACAGTTTTCTGCTACCTTATTGTTCACAAGTATGCAAATACAGCTGCTCCCCCATGAGCCTTTTATTAGTTTCTAACCTTAATGAAATGCAGATTAGAGTAATGTGTAATCTTTTACATATCATCATAAAAATAGTACAAATCTTTGTGCATAGGACAAAGTATATGATTTTTCTATTAGCATTGTGATCAAGTTCCATTATGGTACCTTTAAATACAGGCTAAATTAAACTTCCGATTGCTCGTTGCTATCAGGAATAACAGATTTCAGGGTAGCATGACAAAACCGGTTTAAAACAGAGACTTTTGTTTTCTGTTCAATGTACAATTTCAGTTTCTCTCTGAAAGTTTCACCTAGGAAGCTATAGATAAGAGGATTCAAACAGCTGTTTGAGAAGGCTGCAAGGTTCACAATGTGTCCGGTTAAGGGATAGTTGTGTCTGAAAGACTGGTCCCTTGATGAGGTTTGCTCTGTCTTTTGAAGAAGTTGCACACTTATGAAGACATTTTCAGGAAGCCAGCAGATGAAGAAGACAAGGACAACAACAAAAATCATGCGAAGAGCTTTCTGTCTGCGTATCCGCAAACTTCTGTGCTTGTGGGCTCTTATCAAGACTCTTACAATTAACGAATAACAAAGGCCTATAGTAGCAAAAGGGATGATAAACCCTAAGGTTATTTCTAGCCACTGAATTTCTTCTACATCTGCAAAGCAAAAGGAAACCTCCCCAGCATGTTGCAAATGTACAGCTGTGAAGGGCACTAGTGCTGCCGAGATAGATGCCAACCAGATGAGGCCACAGCTTAATCTGGCATGTTCCATGGTGCGAAATAAGTTGGACTTCATTACTTTTGCTAGTGCTATGTATCTGTCAAAACTCATCCATGTTAGGAAGAATATGCTGCTATACATGTTGATTTGAAGGAACAATGACATAAAAGTACAAATTATTGTGATATCGTAATACTTTTCGTCGAGATTAAAAACTTCGATGAGAGAGTCAGCCACCAAAATGAGATCTGCTACTGCAAGGTTTATGAAATATAAGTCTGGAATAGTCATCTTTTCACGAAAACTTATATTCACCACTAAAATAAGAATGTTTCCCACGAAGCCAATAGGAAAAAGGAATATTGTGTAAAGGCATGATAAGAAAAGACCTATAATGTATTGCTGGTGTTCTGATTTATCTGAGAGGCTGACAGTTTTGTTTTCATTGCATAGATATGATCCATTTCGTTCAAAATATGTGCTGTTACAAAGTACTTGAGATGTGGATGCTGCGAAAATTTCCATGGTATGCGCCTCTCTTGAGTATATCGCTTAGATCTTCAGTACCAAAGTGCTTAAATTGTTGGTGAATCCAAAGAGATCTGTAGAAGTCATATTTTGTATTCTGCAAAGGCAGAATCAGTTTAGGTCAAGACTTGCAGAATTTCTACAGTACCTTAAGAAAAGTGGTAAGCAAGAATCAGTTGATATGTTCTATAACACAGGAACTTTTGTATGGTAATGATGATTTCAGGTGTATACATATTTCTTCTATTGTAATCTTGCTTACAAATTGAAAGTTGCTGAATCATAATAGTTCTGTTTACTTCAGTTTAGCAACTAATGAATCTTGTTTGACCTGCAATTAATAAAAAGGAAAATAATTAATCTCCTTCCTGTAAAAATGAAAGAGTTCATTGTTTATTAACATGAATGGCCTTAACATCTGTTCATGTATATCCATGATCCTGTCTTTGTGAATTTAGTTAGATGAACCACAAATATATGAATGTACATGTTCAGTGTAAATGTTTTTGGGATCATTTTAGGATCTATATAGTGGCAATGAGCAAAACATCTTTTTGGCATTGCTCTTATGAGAAAAGGATAAAAATCAGGACTAAAGCCAGTTTTGGAAGAAATAAAAGATCAACTTTCTGTTGTATCATGTTCTTTGTTTTCATAGATAATTATAGAAATCTTAACATATAACCCCTACAGCACATGCTTTGGCTGCAAAACTGATAGCTAGAGGAAAAGTATGGGACCCTTCTGATTCTTACTCTATTTTTCTCACAGAGGCTTAAAAAAAGAGGGGCTCTTATAGGTCTGCACATTTTAATTGCTTTTCAATTGTATAACAGAAGTCTTTGGGAAAAGAATATTTATTTCTTAAGCAGTTACCTTTTCTAACTATGTTGTTAAATGATTTGTGAAATTTTAAGGAAATAAAAATAAAGCAGATTACCACAGATGATTAAAATCTTGAACTGGATTATGTAAACCTTGTTGCCAAAAAGCCATGAGCAGCTAAGATTCTCACAGCATTTTAAGTATATGGAAGTGGAAACACATGTAAATAAGATGTAAACTCTGTTTGGCCTAAATATCTCTGACCTAATTTTTGAGCCAGATTGAAATATTACATACATTTGATTATTGAGACCTATCAGCCTAACCTCTTCCATCGCTGTGTGCAGCTCTGGTTGCCTGATCTGAAAAAAGCTATTGAGGGGATAGTGAAGACAATAACTGGTTTAGAATCTATATGAAAATAGACTAAAGATAAGCTATTTTTAGTATAGAAGGTGGAGGATCAAGGTGGCAGTGGCAACATGATACAGTTTTATAACATGGAAAGTGTAACCAGAATACCTTTCCAAATAGTTCTCTCCATCTGGTTAAATTGATTGACATTAATAAGTGTTTCTTCTTACAAAATTTGTTACCACAAGCTGTGGAGATGGTCACCATCTTAGATGTCTATAGAAAATAACTGGAAGGATACGTTTATTAATAGTGATTAGCCATAATAGTTTAAAATAAAAACCCCAAGTTTTGAGGTTGTATACCTCATGAGTACCAGATCCTGGGAACATGCATCAGAGAGATACTTATTACCCTCTTGCTCGGCTTTTGAATATCCAGAAGTAGCCGGTTGCTGTTGGAGACCAAATACATGCCTATCCAGAAGTGAGTTGAATTCAGTGGAACTTACTCCCAGGTAAATGTTCATTGGATTGCAGCCTTAGCCTGGTCTTAGTCTTAATTCTTACTATTTTATATGAAGGCATGCATAAAGTCGTTTCAAGGGGTTTGTCATGTTTATTTCCAGAAAGAAATTTTATTTTCACTTGTCCAAAATAAAATACTGTGTTGTTGAATTACTATGAGGCTTGTAACAACATATTTTTAGATTACTTTTTGAAAAAAATGCATAATCTTGTAAAAAAAAATATGATTTTAGTAGTAGAGGGTTTAAGAATAACTCAGCTATTTTTTAAATTGCCAATCTTTATAATTATTGTTTCTGCAGGGTAGAATAAATCACTTTTATACATCACTAAAAAGCAGGCCAATGTAAATATTGAAGGGAAAACTATATTTTAAATAGTAGTGCATCAGTGGCATTCTGATAATGCTCTGGGTTCTGCAAGAAATCTAAACGATTTCAACAATGTTCATCATTTTAAATTGTTCTTACCATCATGTGTTTTTAGGATTCATTTTACCTTACACTAATGTGTATTCATAGGTTTTAACTGGTCTTGAGCTGGTTTCCTCCTAACCACTGGTTGGCTAATTTATCTTTAATCACATCACTATCACCACCACTAATTATAAAAATTAACACTATTCATATTATTCTAGATTGAATTGAAGGCAGTAGTGTATTGGTACAGTTAATTTAGAACTGAATAAACACCTGCATTTTTAAAAGATTGTTTAAGATACTTAAATGGTTTATAGCAACAAATCCAGTTCTTCCTGCAAGTCTTACCACTATAATAAAGCTTTATAGATTCTTGTACTTTCTACAGTTTTTGTTGAGCTGACATCATTTTAAAGGCTAAAATTAACTCTGTTTCTGCTGGTTTATTTCTCTTTGCCAGTTCAATTTGTAAATTAAAAAACAACAACAACAACATTTTGAGAGACGTGGGATGTTTGCCTATTTTCATCCCTCTTTTGCTTTTGGGATCCTACTTCAAATACAAAAATAAAATCAGATGCCAGTACACTGAGCACCATTTCACAGATTCAGCTAGAAGAAGCACCTTCAGCATATACCACTGCTTGGCTGTACAAGCGTATAGCAAATGCAATTAAAAGAAAAACAGAACTCAAAAGTGAAGAATGATTCTTTAACACATGCTTTAATAACTAGAGTGAGATATTCCTTGGCTGTACAAGCATATAGCAAATGCAATTAAAAGAAAAACATTAAAACTCAAAGTGAAGACTGATTCTTTAACACATGCATTAATAACTAGAGTGAGATATTCCTACCCTCTTTCGTGAGTCCTGTTTTCCCTTCTTAATCGCTTGCATGTTTCGGTCAGCTCAAGAGGTATTCCCATCGTGATGTATTGCATTGTGGTGTTCGTCATTGCTATCATTTTTCTGCAACAAACTTAACTGTATCATACATTCAATGTGTCAGTGCTGCTTCTAAATCGTGATGCAGCAGGTGGAGGCTTGGGCTTCATCTGCTGCTGAAGGAAGCTTGTTGATAACTGCACAAACACCACCTGGCGGCTGCCAGAATTGCTCTGCTGACTGTGGGAAAAGAAGTCTTGAACAGCTACGTTAAATCCTGTTTTCTCAGTGGAAGGGACAAGACTATAGTGCATGTCCTCAGCAGACTTTTTACTCTGCGTGTGTTTGTGTGTGTGAGAGAGGGGAAGAATAAAATACTCATTCCTTTCTTAAGCAGCAGCACCCAATGCCTCATTCAAACTGCTTTTGAATGTTTTGAAGCAGTTAGGGATATTACACCAGGTTGGAGTGGGTATATGCTGTTTAAAGGGGAAAAGCTCAAAATTCCACTTGGCATGCCTCCCAAGCCCATGGCAGCTTATTGGATCCTGGCCACAGTTGGGCATGCTGAATTAGAAAACTTAAGATAGAGGGGGAAATTGGGATTTCTGCAGATCATAAATGACCTATATTATATTAAAATAGTGCTTAAAAAGCACAGTATACTCGTAAGAAGTTCAGCTTTCTGAGAATTTTTTCATTTTAGAAAACAAAAAATCTGTCTAGTTCTTACGGTTGTGAAACTATGCTTGAAAGTTCTGCTGCATGAAGTTGCCATACCAACACCTACCCTAAGTGTACTTCAGTAATACCATTGTACATCTGGGTACAGCATGACTTTAATACACTGCGCAGTTTCCATTATCTGATCCTGTTGTGAATAAACTTCTGGAGTTCACCTTGAATGCATTTCTCCACTGCCCCAGAAGTGCCTTACCCAACCTGGTACCCACCATACATTGTGGAATATAGTCCCATTATCCCTGAGCATTATTCATGTTGGCTGGGGGTGATGGGAATTAGGGTCCAGTTTCTAAAGGACACCAGGTTGGGGTAGGCTGCTCTGGAACCATGGTTCAGCAAACCTTTCCCTTGTTCACTTCTCTGCCAGATAAGCCCTGTGTGCCTGCAGTGGAATCTTGGTGCATTGTAGAAGATTCTGAGGAATGTTATGGGGCGTGTTCTCTGTGCACCATCTTGGCTTGCTGGGCCTCACATTTGCCTCCATTAACATTTCTAACCAGCTGCACATTACACAGAGAATATCGGGGGCGGGGGGAGCTGAATTTCAGAGGAGCTTGACGCAGTTTGAAAAGCATTGCTGCAGAACCCAGGAATCACAATTTTGGTCATTATTTCTGGCTTTTGATAGGATTTATTCTAAACTATGTATGCATGCATGTATGTATGTACAATCCGGTTTTTGGTCAGAAACCAAACGTGAAATTTAACATTTACTAAATTATTCTGTATTTTGTAACATGCCCCAGTGCATCAGAGACAGCCAATATGGTGCCCTCCATATGTGAGCTCCAACTTCCATTAACCTCAGCCAGTATGGCTAGGGCTCAAGTATCAATTTCAAACATTGGCTACCCCTGCTCTACATGGCACCTCTTTATTATTCCTTATTCATGTTTGATGCTCAGAGTGACCTTTTCTAAACTCAGTTTTTAAAAACTACTTGTATGCATGCTTTTTAGGTTAAGAATCCAATTGTTATCCAGTGGTATTGTGCTCTATATTTTACTGCGCGTCGATATTTTATAGTTGAAGCTAGCAAGACAGACGCTAAGTAATCATACTGCTGTGGGCATTGGTGGCTCCCCTGTCATACCTCTGAATCTCTGCTGTTGCTGAGATTCCACTTGCTGGCATTTGGTATCTCCACATAGTAAAATGGAGTGAAATTAGGTCAGCGGCAGCAATTTATCAGAGTTCCATTTGTGACTAGGTAACAGTTATCGCTGTTCAATTTGGCATATGTTTCCTCACATTTTCAAAGAATGACCCTTGTTTTCGAATACCCAAGCTTTAGTGCTCATACTTTCTGAGCGTTTAACAGGTGTACTGGGTCTAGCTACAGATTTCTGTCTTAAGTGCACGCAATGGCAAACTTACATTTCCCTCCATGTGATGTGTGAAGCATTGAGTGTAACAGATGCTGGAGTGGGGAGAACAGCTCCATGGAGGCAGGGGCAGTCAGTGGTAAACCTCACATGACAGAGCAGTTTAGTTCTAGCTTGTATTGTACATATCACTGTTCTAATGCTCATTTTATTTTCTCGGTATATGCATTTATTGGGTTCTTTGGGCTATTCCTTTCACACAGTGAATAAGATAAATGGCTATTAGTCATGATGTCTATATGGAACCTCCATGATCAGAGGTAGTATATTGCTAAATACTAGTTGCTGGAGTGCGCAAGAGTTATTTCGTTATTGTATTCATAACTCGTTTTATTCCAAGACACCCAAGAAAAGACTTAAAATTTCAAAATACTAAAACAAATAATAAAAAAATGTAAAGTTGGCCTTGTGAGTTGAGGGGCCAGTCTGACTGGAGCAAGTCCTGATGTTTCCTTTGTCTGTTTGCCTGCCTGCCTCACTCTCTTCTGCCTTCCCACAGGGTGGATGGCGTCCTTTGGATCCATAGGTGAAGGGTTTAATTTACTGGAACAGGCCCTGATGTTGACCATGCCTTCCTTCCTTGCTGGCTTCTTTAAGCACTTTTGATACCCAGTCTCTGATCCTCAGTCCACTTCCCATACCTTTTCCAGTCCCATGAGATCCCTTGGATTCTCTGTAGTTTGCCCTTCTCCCCCCCACCCCCAAATCAGGATGCATCTTTCCTTTGGTGGATTCATTTGAGATCAGATAATGCTTAGACTCCCCCCGCCCCCAAATACTACGTGCTTAAGTGTGGGTAGATGTTAAAGAATCCCCTCTAATCCCAAAAGGCAAAATATGAAAACTGTTTGAAGAGGCTTGGAAATGTCTCCAGCTTAATAGAAGCTAAGGATCAGGCACTTGTTAACTACACAATTAATTATTAGTTTACAGTGTAATGGTATACATGTCCACTCAGAAGTAAGTCTCTTTGTGTTTAATGGGGCTTATTCCTAGATAACTAGGTACAGGATGGTAGCATAGGCTTCAGTTTAGAGTTGGCATTGGGCTAAAACGGGGTTCTTGTGCCTTTAACAGTTGTATGACAGGCAGACATTCAACAGGTTAAGCCTTTTATAGAATGGAAGCACAATTACAGAAAAAACTTCACCATGACTGTGCTTCCTCTAGTTTTGTGTATACTTTGGCCTCATGGCAGCCATGTTGTGACTGGTCCCACAGCACTCTCTCAAAATTTGAAATCTGCCCATGTATCCAAAATAGTTGGTGACTCCTGTTTTATGCAGACAAAGGCACTTGCGGAGGGCGCAGAGCAGGACCATGGCCTAGGTATGTTCAAACACCCTGACAAAGAGGCTTGACGGGGCTTTTGGTCCCTGGGCCTGAGGTTCTCACCCCTGTCCTTGAGGCAGCTAGTTGGTTGCTCTGGGAAGCAAGATGCTTGAGTAGATGGTATTTTATATTTGATCCACTAGAGCAGGCATAGGCAAACTCTGGCCCTGCAGATGTTTGGGGCTACAATTCCCATCATCCCTGACCACTGGTCCTGTTAGCTAGGGATGATGGAAATTGTAGTCCCAAACATCTGGAGGGCCGAGTTTGCTTATGCCTGATTTATACCCCGCCCATCAAGCTGGGTTTGCCTGTGCCTGCACTAGAGCTCTTAGGCTTTTATGGGCAGTGCTAATCAAACGATTAAATAATATTGTTGGATTAATCAAATGCATTCCAGTAGATTAAAATTTCATTTGCATATGAATAAGAATAATTACTTGGAATAAAAAGGCATGCTTTCTTTGGTTTTAGACATTGGAAAGGCATCCCTCAGGTCACAGCACCTTAGCCTATGAATTCCCTCCTGTATGAGGTGAAAGGAGAAATGCTACTTCTGATGGAACTTGCAGTCTCTGTGGTGTTATATAAAAGATAATTTTAGAAATCTATTTCCTGATTAAATTTTTAAATGAATTAATCTGAATGAATTGACTAAACATTGCAGCCCTAGCTTTCATCTCCTGTGTAGAACAAAACAATGTACTTGATTCTGCCACAAGTATCAGTCATAGTTCCTCTTCAAGCCTACTGAAATTTAAACCATAGCTTTCCATTTATATTTTTAAAATGCAGAGACTACAGAAAAATGGGATATTAAAAGCACATCAGCTCTCCACAGGCTCCGAAGAGCTAATGCAGGCTTAGAATACTTTCAGTATACTCAGTCTAATAATTCTCACTCATCTTTGTTCGGATATGGGTGATGTTCTTTTCCATTTGGCTTATGGTTTACTATAATAACATTTCCTTAATTGCTGCAGGAAAAAAAACACTACTGTATCTGAATAGAAGTAGACAGCTTTCCCCCATGACTGGAACAAACATCCATACACTAAAATGCTTCTAATATCCTACTTGTGCTTGTTATAAAAATGAATTATGTAATAATTGGAAGATCATTTAGACTGCTGAAATATTTTTAGAAACCTTTATTAACCATATGCATTGAGAAAACTTGAATTTGGTTCACATTTTGATAGATGAAAAACAGTTGTTGATTCTTGTTGATCATATCATCATAAACTTTATATATACATAAAAAGTAGCTTCTAGCATTCTGTCACACTCTAGTGGGATCAAGAAATGGAACACAGGGCAGGGCTATGCAGATGAAGGATTGGAAAAAGTCTTTTTAATCAATGGCTGGGATCACTAGGGGTGGGGATCATGCTTAATACCTCCCATAATAACAACCCTGAGTACATCCTTCATTGTTTCCCAATTCAGGTAAAGTGTTACACTTGGAGGTCCTGTTGTAGTCAGGGCAGACCTTAGCCTCAGCTCCCTAATATTAGTTGGTCTAATATTCACTGGCATAGATGTTGAAAGGCTCTGATGTGTCTTCACTACAAAATCCCTTCTAACATTTCCCCAACAACTATTGCAATGTATAAGCACACAATGTTACAATATTTTCTTGCGCGCTATCTCAGACAGAGAATCCCCTGAGTTATTTCCTGGCACATATGTTTATTACATCCCAAAGTCCAGCCTGTGGCAGTAGTTGATGTGTGATTTTGTTGTAGGAAGTTGGTGAAACAAAGATACCCTTTGACATTACCAAAAAACAGTCCAAAGCAATAGTTTGCCTTGGACATACATTTCTCTTTTCATTTTCAGAAGTATTTGGAATAAGCCAGTCTTCTTGATGAGAAATCAGACTATCATTATTAATAATGATTATTATGTTGTACATGGTGCCATAACCATAGACGACACTTTACAGAGTAGCATATGGGAGAGAAAGGTTCCTGCCCTAAGACACATAATTCCTGACCATCAGCCAGGGTGGTTGGGCTTTATGGGAGCTGAAATTCACAGCATTGATGGGCAGCATGTTGCCTACCCCTGCTTCAAGGTAAGCCTTGAACCAGCAGATAACGCTCTCTATGCATGAAAAGAAAAAGGCTCCAACACCCTGTTAGATCTTTCATGCCTTGCCTTACATTCATCTCATTTACTGTTAAGAAACTCCTAGACTGTTATTTATTACCCATCTTAATGAAAGAACTACTGTCCTCCTTGCATTTTTTTCTTGCTATGTCTTTTGACATGATTTCATTTTTCTCCAAAACATTTAAAGAGGCATGATTCACCATGATCACATGGACACATTTCATCTTACTATACCACATTATCCCCAATAGCACCATTCTCATGTTAAATCTTTCATGTTGTTGGTCATTGTTACATCAATTAGATATTTTGGCAAAGGCCTGCCCAGATGTATTTAACACTGCCTGCACCCGAAATAATTAATTTACCTCAAGCCCAGAACAGCTGTCCTGGTTTGTAGAACCTGTATTCATGTCCCACCCCACCCTGAAATATGGCTTTTCCATTTCTACTGCACAGCAGTTAGGCTGTCTTGAATATACTGCACACTTCCAGCAAATACAATGCCCTTTTGCAACCCCTTGTTTTTTAAGGGAACTTACAGAATGATATAATTGTATAATTGGAATGGGCCCAATTCCAGTCCAACCCTCTGCAATGCGGGAATCTTAACTAAAGTGACTGTGACATATGGCCATCCAACCTCCAATGAAGGCGTGTCTGCCACCTTCTGAGGAAGTCTATTACCATCAGAAAGTTTTTCCTAATGTTTAGTCGGAATCTCCTGTCTTGTAACTTGAATCCATTGGTTTGGGTCCCACCCTTGAAGCAGGAGATAACAAGCTCCATGTGGCAACCCTTTAGATATTTGAAGATCATATCTCCTCTCAGTCTCCTCTTTTCTGGGCTAATCATACCCAGCCCCTTCAACCTTTCCTCATAAGGCCCTTGATCATCCAGTCCCTTGATCATCTTTCCAGTCCCTTGATCATCTTGGTTGCCCTCCTCTGTGCACATTCCAGCCTGTCAACATCCTCCTTGTGGTGATAAGAATTGGACACAGTATTCCAGTTGTGGTCTGACTAAGGTAGAATATAGTGATTTTCTCTTGATCTGGTCTGGACACTGTACTTGTGTTGATGCAGCCTAGAATAGCATTAGCTTTTTCTGCTGCTGCATCACACTGTTGTCTCACATTAATTTTGTGTTCCAACAAGGCTCCTAGATCTTTTTCACATTTACTACTGACAAGTCAGGCGTACCCCATCTTATATTCTTGCAGCTGATTATTCCTGCCTAAGTGTAGAACCTTACATTTGTCCCTACTGAAATTAATTTTGTTAGCTTGGGCCCAGTTCTCCAATCTATTAAGGTTATTTTGAATTCTGATTCTGTCTTCTGTGGCATTAGCTACCCCTCCCAGTTTGGTGTCATCTGCAAATTTGATGAGCATCCCCTCACTTCCTTTATCCAAGTCATTTATAAAGACGTTGAACAACAGATCCAAGACAGAACCCTCCCATGTGGCACCCCACTTGTCCCTTTGTTCCAGGATGATGAGGAACCATTAGTGAGCACTCTTTGGGTTTTGTCGGTCAACCAGCTACAAATCCACCTAGCAGTAACCTCATCTAACCAACATTTTACCAGCTTCTCTGCAAGAATATCACAGGGGACTTGTGTCAAAAGCCTTATTGAAATCAAGATACACCACATCCACAGCATTCACCAATCCACCAAGCTTGTAACTTTATCAAAAAAAGAAATGAGTTTGGCATGACTTGTTTTTGAGACACCCATACTCGGTCTTCGCAATCATAGCATCCTTTCCTAAGTACTCACAGACTGACCATTTAATTGTATGTTCTAGGGTCTTTCCTGGTATAGAAAAGCTGACGGATCGGTAGTTACCTCAATCTTCTCCCCCCCCCCCTTTTGAAGATGGGTACAACTTCTAATCTCAGAGCCTCAATGTCTATAATTCAGTATAACTATTTTGTCTGTTGCTCCGTGCGGTTCTGTTCCATTCTGTACACAGGATGCCCTTTAAAAGCACCCACATTCAAGCAGGCTGGATTCTGAAAGCTGGACTTCTTAGGCTAGACAGTTCCATGGGTGGTGTTTATTGGTCCAGGATGGGTGAACAGAGAAAAAGGGCCCCCTCTTCAAGTGACTTGTATCCCTTATGAATGTATGTTGGGAGGGGGATACAAATGTATGGACTGAAGGATTATGGTGCATGATAACTTAGTTAATTTTGTTGATATAAGAGTCACTTATAGAATAATACATTAAATCCTAGGTGATACACTGCTTTATCAAGATCTCCCTTCACTCTCCCATGCAGTCTTCCATATTCATTACCCCTTTGTTGATCCTGGAAAAGTTTCTTTTTATAAAAGCTCTTGACCATGTTGCCTGTCCTGTTGTTCACTCTGCTGTCCATACATCAGCACACAACAACGACGTGCAATAGCAACACAGGAGGAACATTAAGTAACTATGATTGTAGCTTTCAGCCCCAGCTGGAGAATATTTGTTCCTCAGGTTGTAAGAATAAATAAGCTTGCAAATCTTTTATTCCTTCAGGTTCTGTACGTTGGCAGATTTGTAGCTTTTTTCTTCAATGCTAATATTTTGGAAGGCAAAGGTCAGTGTGATCCATTTTCAGAGGGCCCAGATGAGACTTCAGTACGAGTCTCTGGTATTTCAAGAGGACTGTTACTAGCATGTCTCCTCCTGCAAACTTTTGTGAGATTAGTTATAACATTCAATAAGCCGATTCTGCATGGTTTATGAAGGCAAAGAATGATAACTAAACTAACACAGCTTTCGCTGAACAGCAGGATCTCTGCAATATTCATTGTCAGCTCATTTTGGGGTGTCCCTATTATCCTCCGTATCTTCAAGCTGGTCCTAGAGAGAATCATACTGTTGTAAAATAGACGACACACAAACATTGTTATTGTAATAACCAAAACAGTCAAATAAGGGTGAATATTGTATCTTGAGGGATGGATTTCTGGCTGAACTTTTTTAACAAACATTAGAATAAAGCAGAGAAGCTTGGCCAAAGATGGAATGCAGAAGCCAAAGGTAAATTTAATAATCTCGTATTCAGGCCATGCAAATAAAGGATCTAATTGGCAGTCTGTTTCTTCATGGTAATTCTCCATGCCCAGCAGTGCCACCACTATTAGTGTAGCACAAAAGGCACATATCAGTGCAAATGCAACAGATACCATAGGGTTTTGATGTGCCTTACTAATTAAAGCATTTTGGGGTGGGTGCCTATAAAGAAAAAAGCTAAGCACCATGAGGACAAGAAGGTACTGAGAGCTGAAGTAATTCAAATTGAAAAAAAACGACAGCGTTCCACACTCAAAATAGGATACTTTGAGGTAGGCAGGCCTTGTGATGATGGTGAGTGATAAAAGAATCATTAACATGTTGCTGATGGTGTGAGCAAAAAGCATTATATCTAATTTCTCATTGGTGCGCTGCATATGGTTCTTGATGAGGATGCCTAAAATAACAATCCCAGCTAGTAGACCAGTTGGTACAAAGAGCGTAATATAGCAGTGCATAAATCTTGATATTACATGTTGTGAGAATATGATGTCTTCAAAACTTGTGAATGAATCTCGGCTCTGGCTTGGGTACTTCATCCAGGTCATATTATGAGAGACCATTCTTGTGAAGAACTTTGGTTGCTTGGTGTTTCTGCAAACTGGAAAACAAACAATCAAAGGACTTTAAATGTATAGTCAAAGCAGAAGAAAAGTGAGAAAGTACCACCGCATATCTTTGGATTTTTTAAATGTCAAAATGTGCTTACAGTGCACCCCAGCTGCAAACCGTAGAGCCATGTGCTTTGTCAGAAAGGAATGTAGAGTTGCTGTTGAGCCTGAGTACAATGTTACTTACTTAAGAGTAACTAGGGCAACCTAGCCAGATGGGTGGGGTATAAATAATAAAATTAGTAGTAGTAGTAGAATTGGGAGGTGGTCTTGAGACAGCTTCACAAACAATAGAAAATGATGTTTATAGCCTCTATGGGGGAGGGCTTAGTTATTATAATAACTAGAGACACAACCATAGCCCCAGTAAAAGGACAGGGCGCTCTGTTGTCATCTGGTCACTACACTGGTATATCTTTGAATTCCACTATCAAAAGTAGATTCAGTAGCAGTTCTACCCTCTTAGTGCACATTGTGGCTATTGGGTTACTATGTTCACATTGATTGTTTCAGAATAGTCGTGAAGACTACAAGACTGCAGCAATAGAATTTCAGCAGTAATATTATGACCCTTTAATTTTAAATACCCCCAGTCTCATGATGGAACTATTGGAGATTGGGGGAAATAATTGTTTTTTAAAAACTTCTTTTTAACACCTTTATCTGATTATACTCTTTTGTTAGCTTAGAACTGTGTGTATGTGTTTATAGCAGTTATAAATTCCTAAAGATAGGGTTTTTTAAGGTGAAGCTGACAGGGAATTAACTGTAATAGCTCAATCATGTGATGCCATCATGATTCTGTTCCCATGAAAAGACATCACTTTCTCTTTTAAACAAATAATAGACTGTGTAAAAAGATACAATAGTTGTTTGCTCTGCAGAAAATGACTGCCATAAATATGAAATGTGTAATTTTATAGGCTACCTAAAAGCACGATTTGTACGTTATCAAAAAGGTGATTTCCATATACTTTGTTGAAAGAAATCTGTTGCTAATATTATTCGGAGGTTTTTTTAAAAAAGGATTGTGCTGCAATAGGATAAACATTTCATATTTTAAATTATGTAGAAAACTATATGGAGCTTTTGGAGTGTAATTATTAGTACATTTTAAAATATAGCTTCTATTTCCCAAGCTTTGTGCTCATATTAAAAGATGTTTTAGCATATCTGCAATTAAAAAATATAGCAGGCTATGTTTGCTATTTCGTCTTCTGTTTCCTTTGTAACATAAGCATTTCAGTTTTCACATTAATCCCCAGATTTAATACTGTGGTTTCTTCAAATCATTCAATAATATGCAAAGCTGATCCATTCAGGCAGAGTGTATATGTACAGTGAATTGCAGGGACACTGCAATGCCTTGGGTCTCCTATCAGAAGTTTCCATAGAGCCTCATCTAATAATGGAATAATGTTTCTCCCTAAGACTTTCTCCCATAGCTTATATGTTGTTAGTACAGTTCTGTCAATGTTAGAATGCTGTGCTTTAAGCTACAGTGTAAGTTTAAGGCTTTGGTTGTATGCCACATTTAAGAAGACTAAGAAGAGCCCTGCTACATTAGACCAAATACAGTGGTACCTCGGGTTAAGAACTTAATTCGTTCCAGAGGTCCGTTCTTAACCTGAAACTGTTCTTAACCTGAGGTACCACTTTAGGTAATGGGGCCTCTCGCTGCCGCCGCGCAATTTCTGTTCTCATCCTGAAGCAAAGTTCTTAACCTGAGGTACTATTTCTGGGTTAGCGGAGTCTGTAACCTGAAGCGTATGTAACCCGAGGTACCACTGTATTCATCTAGTTTACCATCTTTGCATCTTACGTCCCTTAGAGACTTAGAAACAGGACATGAAAACAATAGTCCTTCCCCAGATCATGCCTCCAAACATGGACTTCAGCTTGGAACTAATGTCTTTTGAACTCAGTTGGACTTTCTTCTCAATAAACATGCTCAGAATTAGTCTGTGAGTATGTTAGACAGAGCTGAAATATTAGCTTATTCACACACACGCACACAAACACACACCCTGACATCCAGCCAAAAATGGCACCCATGTTGACTTTCAAACAGTTGAGATCTACTATAAAAATACAGTATCAATAACAAATATTTCTGGTTGTTGGGATATGGGTATGTATGTGCAGAGTGGTGTAATAACATGGGCTTTTAATTTATTTATTAGACTTCTATACTGCCATTCCTCCCTCTCCCCTTGTTCTCACAATAGCCTTCTGCTGTACATTAGGCTAAGGAATTGTGATTTAGGTCCCTCAGTAAGGGCCATGCTAGACGTGAAGTAAGTAGGTCTTGTGTTGCTTTCCTTTCACTGTGAACAGCAAGATGGATAGACTATCTGATTCAAATAAGGACCATGGTAGGGGTGAATACTCCCTCCCATAGTCCTGATTCAGCCCCCACCCCACCACTGGCTGTTAGTTAAGGGGTGGGGGGGAAGAAGCCCTGCAATAAAAGCAAAGCTACCACAGAAAAAGCTATATATGTCTCCTGCCTTTCACCCAAAGAACTTTAAGCAGAATATTTGTTTTCCGTTTCCTTCCTACAAATACCTTGTGAAGTAGAATTATGCTGAGACAGTGACTGCCTTGGTTTTATAGCCAAGAAGGAATTTTGATCCCCAGTTTCCCCAATCCAAGGTGTTCAAGATTGAGAGAGCCATGGGATATAATGGTTAAGGTACTGGCCTTTGATGTTTGGACTTTGACCAAGAAGACACAGGATCGAATGCCTGCTGTGCCACAAATCCCTCTTCATGAACTGCAGGCCAGATTTTTGTCATGTAATTTGGTCCTGAACAGTTATGATCCCTAGCTAGCAGGACCAGTGGTAAGGGATTATGGGAACTGTAGTCTCAAAACATCTGGAGGGCCGAGTTTGAGGAAGCCTGTTCTAGAGCATCACAGGCAGCATGGTTGCATCATTGGCTGAATTATGCTAAATGAAATCAACAAAACCCTTTCCTGTACTGAGGCTTCAGCAATAAGTTTTGGGGGCAGCTTTTTCAATTAGGTATCTTTGCAGCAAGAACCCGCAGCTTACAGTAGAAAGGTGGAGTTGGCTAAAATGAGGTAGCTTTGAAATTGGGATTTGGAGCATCAGATGCAAGAAAGGGAAGGTGGGCTGCACACAAAGGACATTAGACTAAATTGTTAAGTGGGAGGGAGGGATTTATCTGCTCCACTGGCAATAGCTAGCTAGCACTCAGCATGGATTTTTAAAAAAAAAAAAAATGTAAAAGGGATTAGTTCCTTTCCATTTTGCTACCAGAATGAACTCTGTTTCATTAATGTAAGTTGAAATGAAACTCACTTGTGGGTTAGAAGAAGAAGAAACAGATTGTTTGCTAACAGAAGAAAAGCATTTAGTGAGAGCAGCACATCCGCAAAAGCCTGAGCCACTAGGTTATTACAATAATTATACCATTTATAAGACACTGAAAGAGTGTTCAAAGCACATGACATATTATATCAGTGACTCTTAAAAAGCAACTTTATGATGTAGGCCAGTATTAGTATCTGCAAATGTTTGTGTTGAGCTTAGTATTAGTACTGTCAATGTCTACCTTTCTGCTTCCTGACTCACAAGCAAGCTGTCAGACAAAGTGGCATTTAATAAGCATATTTGTAAGTGGCAATAAGAGTTGTGATTGTTGAGCTTTTTTTAGGAAGACCTCAATTTAAAAATTTTTTTTTTACAAACCCCAGAGTTTTCCAGTTGACTTGCCTATGAAGATCCAGGACAGAGCGCCGCCTTTCAGAAATCCCCCCCAGACATCAATTCCGCCTTTGAAATCCCAGTAATGTCCTGGAAAATCCAGACGTGGGGTAGCCCTGCTTGTGATAGAATGGATCTGAGTTCTGATAGAATAATATAAGAGTAGTCTACAGCTTGAGTGTTGAAGAAATGCTTTCCATTTGTGAACTGACAGAGTGCATTCAACTAGAATAATAGAATTGTAGAGTTGGAAGAGATCCTGAGGGTCATCTAGTCCAACTCTGCAATGCAGGAATCTCAGCTAATCTTGAATGCATCTTTTGGATTAGAATTCTAAGGAACTCTTAGACTCACTGCATTTTGTGTTGCCTGAAAAACACTCAGCAGGCGGCAAATGCATCAAATGTACATCACCACATAGTACATTCTTAGTAAAAACCTTATAATGGCATTGAGAATTCCATTTTGTAAAATAAAATGAAAATCATTTATAACTGGAAAGGGTACCTTTTCTGTTAGTGAAGAAAAAATTACATGGAGGTATATAGATTGTGAGGTTCTTTAATTTCCATTACTCTGGGAAAATAATTTTTACCACCAGCTTTCTCTGATTACCTAGCATAACAGCAAATTTACTGCAGCAATTCTAGCAAGCTGCATGGCTTGTGCATCCCTTCACGTTGTTTAGTGGCTTCTGCAGAATGAAGTGTCTTAGAATATCATCATTTCATGACAACAGCTGAAATTACAGTCAGAACGCATTAGGTTTAAAGCCATGGATTTCATACTTTTTGCTTTAACGCAGTCCTTCTCATATTACCTTTTCTGCTGAGGATCTTCTGCATATCTTCCATTAATGGGTGTTGCAGAGCATTCTGGGAAGTATTCTGAGGTGCGCAGTCAGTTTATCCAGAGCACTAACCTAGACATTGGGCCTCATAGTTACCACACGTGAAGGGAATGTCTGTCCTATAACAAACCCAACATTCTTCTTTGGATGCTTGTTGCATGCAAGGGAAAGCATGTTGTAGTAGGCAAGCTTTTAGGGGAGTTTCCCATATTACAGATTTTTCTCAGTGCAGAACCTCTCTTTTGCTTCCAAGGAACCCCCAGGGTTTATTTGAAACATAATTTGAACAAGGAAATAGCATTTATTCCTAACACACACACACACACACACACACACACACACACACACAAATTGTCCTGGCTTTTGGAATATAACTAGATTGGAGCCTAATAGTTAAAGGTTTATTGTTCACTATGTTATGTTTTAATAGTTGGATTTTGTTGATGTTTTAGTTATTGTTGTACTGTATTTCTATTTTAATGGTGGTTGTTAGCTGCCCCGGGCAGGATATAAGACAAATGAATAAACACATTTTTTTAAAAAAAGTATTTTTTAAAAGAAATGAATGCAGTTCTTTTTTAGGATATGCATTTGGTTTCTTTTTTGAAAAAAAATAATAATCTGTATACTGTTCACTTCTGTTTCTCAACTTCTTTCTGATCTTTTCTTTCACTGATGATTCTTCCCCTTATTTCTTTCTGACTTTTTCTGACTCCTCCATTTTAAAGAAAGCCCTTCTCAGGCATTGTGCTGCTAGTATGTTAGGCTTTATTTGTTTTGGCAGTGAATACAAAAATGTTCTGGAATCCTGTTCTCAGGCTCAGACACACAGCTAATAAATTATCCTTGCCTCCAATAGATGGAGCCGAACCATTCCCCACAACAAGCAGGAGAGAACTACAGGAGGGCAAGTACTGCGAGGGAAATCTCTTGAGAAAGGCAGAACTTGAAATTATTTCCCCCTTGCATGCGTTTGCTTAAAACACTCAAGTCTGGGCATTTCAGTTTAATGAATTAAACTGACGACTTATTTGAAAGCTTCCAAGCTGCATTACTATGTTTAGGAATCGTTGTTTTAGAAACCAGATCTATTTTTGTATAGATGCTTAACATATGACAGCCCTTCCCTGGTTTCTTTTCCCAACAGGAGAAAGAAGTTTCTTTTATACAAGCAAGCCTTGTGCGCAACTGGAGTGTTATTGCTATTTTAGCTGTTTAGTGTAAATGTGTTTATAATTCTTTGCAAAAGATGGTTCTAGGGATTCTGACATAAGTTAAATTCAGAGACAGGATTTGTAGAGGCAGAGAAATAAAAAATGGAGTTACTTATACAGTTGATTACAGTAAGAATTTAACTGAAGGAGTGCAGTTTCTACAGAAACAAACAAATTGAGAAGAGGTTTTTTTTTCTTCTACACAGAGGAAGAATGTCAACAGTGTTGTGTTTAAAATCTGTTATGTGTGCAACTCTTGCTTTAGTCTTATTCTAAAACAGTAGAAGGCAACATTCCGGCTCAGTAGAAAGTTTTGATTCCTCCTCCCCACTTCCTTTTGTTTAAATAGTTGAAGCATCTGGCTTCTTGCACATTTAAGAATTCTGTGACACTTTAATTATTTATAAAAGGATTCTAGCAGAACAGAAAAATCCTGGTCTCTTTTGTTTTCATAACATTTTTTTTAGATGTGATATTTTGCTGCATTTTGTGCAGCTTTAAGCATATTACTGAAGTAAAGAGGTTGAAAGAACAGAGCTCTTTTCACACTGTTTTTGGTCCTTAGTGATGATGAAAACATTTCATATTTAAAACAAAGTAGGTCACTTACCCGTGAAACAAAATGCAGATGCAACAGGCTGATTCTGTCTTTATGATCAGATTGATGAGAAAAATAAGTTTTAATGCATACTTGCTTCCTGCGTGTGGTGACGTGTTCAGTTCGAAAACTCAGACAACAAAAAACCACAGTTATTCTGTAGGAAACAGGAACTTGGTTTCATGTAATTCAAACCATACACGTTGCAATTTTAGCCCGCGTATGGCTCTATCATGTGACTTTAAAGTTTGAGTTGACCTACACAGAGTGATGTTTTGGTACTCCAGAACAGAAAAGTAGTGTTTAGTCATATATTTCTGAGTCTTTGAGGCCATCCAGTGGCTTCTCAGTTATTTTAAATCATGAAGCCATTCTACCCCATTCACTAATACTGGAAGTATGTTTTCACATGTCCAGATGTTTAGCATTTTCAAAATGCTGCACAAGTAAATATAAAATAAAAGTATTTTATACAAGTAGGACCTGCAACAAAATATTATCTTATGGAGTGCTTCCTGTCCAGGATTCCAGCCAGTCCATTCCATTCACCCCTCCTCTCCCCTGATCTCCCTCCCACTAACAGTCAGCTTTCCATGTCCACTGAACGTGCTCAGTGATTTGGCTGTTGTGAAAGTTCATTTCCCATTTTTTTGAAATATATTTTTATGCTCCTTGAAACCTCCGAGTTCTCTGGCCTGCTGATAGTTCCCTCTTACGCATAAGCAGTGTTGATTAGGCTGCATACGGACTAGAAGAAGTGAGATCACTAGAAGTATAAATGGTAATGATTAAAACACTCACACCCTTACCTTCCCACCTTCCAGAAGCTGATGCTGAATACTTTGCCTAGAATCAAAAGTTTGGAAATAAAGATTCCTACCTTCTTGCTCGGTTTGGAGGCATAATTGTGGTGTGTCCATGAAATAGCTTGTCCAAAATACCCTATGCATTAAGAGGTTATATTTAAGACAGGGTTTCCCAAACTTGGGTCTCCCAAGCTATTTTTGGACTACAACTGGAAACCCAAGTTTGAGAAACCTTTGTTGAAGAGATAGTCTATTTAATCTGCTCACTACTAACCTATAGTGTGCAAGATTGCTGAATACAATTGTAATTAATGATAATTCTAAACATTTTACACAGTGTAATTTACACAGTGCTGTAATTTTCATGCACATTTCCCTCTGACAGTTACTGTTGCTATTCGAAATTGAATGAGGAAGAAAAAGTGGGCATTCTTTTCAAATGTGGTTTCTCTTGAACATTTATTTTTATAGTCTCAATTTGATTCAGTTGAGCAATCATAGGATACAGTCATATGAGCTCAGTAAGAAAGTAAACTTTATTCGGATAGAACACAAGGGGCTGTTTTAGTGTGAGTTTTCTTTTTTTTTTAGTGGTTGGTCAACTGATTTAGGGCTAACTTTCTGCAGTTGTAGGAGGTTGCAGTCTTTATTAAAGCGAGCATTCAGCAAATTTAAGAGTTTAAATCATTTGCGACTTGGGTGCATAATCATTATGAGAAGCCTGTAGCAAACAGACAAGTGTTTGCAATATAAAGACTTCCTAGTTAAGAAGGAGCTTATGCATCAGCTGACAGCCCTTACACCCCTTCTGACAGTGAGGTAGCTGAAAACAAAAATCACACTCTCAAAGTAATGATATGTGCTCAATTACAGGCACACAGTTGTCTGATGCATTATTGGAGAAAGCCTTAACAATGGTTGATTACACTCAGAACTAGCTGTTCACAGTTGCAACTCAAACGACACCATTTGGGGTTTTCATGGTATGAAACCTAAGTATGGGCGTAGCCAGGAATTTTGTTAGGGGGGACAGGACTTTTGTTAGGGGAGCAGAACCAATGTGATTTGCCAGTGAGTATTTCTATTGTTTTACTTGATATGGGGGTGGGCAGCTGCCCCCCTGGTGCCCCCCCAGGCTACACCCATGAACCTAACCTGTGTCATTTGAGAGTGTTTGGTTGCACAGCATGGGTGCACATCCTGGCTGAAATGCACACCAAGATGAGTCCCAGGGGAAAATAGGGTGTGTTCCTCATCTGGCTGGGTTTCCCCAGCCACTCTGGGCAGCTCCCAACAGAATAATAATAATAAGTGATAAAACATCAAACATTAAAAACTTCCCTAAACAGGGCTGCCCTCAGATCAGATCAAATCAAAAGGTTACTGGGTCTGGTTGCCTAAGCAAATAAAGATGCTTGTCAATAAGAGTGTCAGCTTTCAGGAGCAGAAACGTTAAAATTGTAGAATAATTTTCGAGGTTTTTCTACTTGTGGGAAGCGGTGTAGCTAGCCACTCGTGTGCCCAGTGTGGTGCGTGCATCCTGCAGCTGGGAGCAGGGCGAACTGCATGGATCCTCTGGCCACCTCCCCCTCAGCTGTAGGGTGGCTGAGGGAGAGGCGGTAGGCAGGTGCAAGCCCCACGCTGCCCTTTCAGGCAGCGTGGAGCCTGTAGGCGCCCAAGCCATCACGTCACTCCCAGGAAAGACACGTGGCTCGTGTGGTGCCCATTGCCAGCCGTGTTTTGTTACGTTTCTTGACTGAACTAAAAAGTGTAGTGGTCCCATTTTTTTAATAAAAAAACCCACTCATATTTTTGTCACCCCCTTCAGTGATGACACCTGGGGCAGCCTGCACCCACCACACCCCCTTCCTCCACCACTGCTTGTGAGTGATGATGCACAGACAAGTGCCTCTCCCCTTCCCCTGCTCTGATACTCTCTGGACTATTCCTCTGGAGCTGCACATACTCCACTGATCACACTGGTCAAGGTATGCTATAATAATGCTATAACTGATGGCTGCCTTGTGCCTCGTTCAAGCTGAGCAAGTTGCTGGAGCTTTGTGCAAGACTTTAAGTGATGCAAAAAGGTTTTGCAAAACCCTAGGAGCCAGTGAATTTTCTGGGAGCCAGGCTAGAAGCAGAGAGAAATGGAGACCTGAGCATGCCAATGAGAAAAGGGATCCTGGTCTCACTAGTGCATTTTGCTCTGCTCCTCCACCCCCCACCCCGACTTTCAGATAAGGTCAAGTAGGGAAGTGCTAGACCAGGCATAGGCAACCTTGGCCCTCCAGATGTTTTGGGACTACAACCCCCATGATCCCTAGCTAACAGGACCAGTGGACAGGGATGATGGGAATTGTAGTCCCAAAACTATGCCTGTGCTAGACCTCAAGCTTAGCAGTGTTAAAGTGGTAACCTAGGTGCTCCCAAGTAAGGAAGGCTGGTACTATGGCTCAATAGAAAGCTCTGCATTTTGTTGTTAAAGCCTGTGTTCATGTGCTTATATCAAAAATAATGGCCCAGCAGAATGGTTTCTGCTATTGTAATTAAAGGTGTCTTCGAAGCAGGCAGTGTAGTGTGGAACAGACTTGTTTAGTGGGTTCTGTACCTCGATTTCCTCTGAGGTTTCAGCAAGGATTAGGAGCATAATGTGAACTCAAGACCTCTTGAGTAAAGGGGACAGGGTGTGGCGTCTGCTAAAGGTACAACTATGGTATAACTGGTTGAACCCTTGGGCCTAATTGTAACTGATAAGACTTATGCAAGTCATTATATGTGTTCCTGCTGCATATGAAGAGTACAGTGGTACCTCGGGTTACAGACGCTTCAGATTACAGACTCTGCTAACCCAGAAATAGTACCTCAGGTTAAGAACTTCGCTTCAGGATGAGAACAGAAATCGTGCTGCAGCGGGAGGCCCCATTAGCTAAAGTGGTGCTTCAGGTTAAGAACAGTTTCAGGTTAAGAACAGACCTCCAGAACGAATTAGGTTTTTAACCCGAGGTACCACTGTATATGGATGCCATTTATTTAGCTAAATTATAGATAACCAACCTGAGGCACCAACAGGGAAGTGGTCTGTGGTGCTGCAGGACTGGAGCAGAAATGTAGATCTACTACAGTATTAATAGGCATTATTATTTTCTTACTATTTAAATTATTATTTACAGCAGGACTTCTGTTTCATTAATTTCTATACAGCAAGTTCATATAAAAATATATGTATACAGTGTACAAAATATTGTGTTATCACTTGCAAAATAAGCGTGTATGTTAATTTATGTTTCAGTTTCTGTGCATGTTTATGTTATTGTTTGCTTACATTATCTGTTTTGTTACTACTTAACTGAAAACCTCAAAAACAAATTTTTAAAAAACTTTAAAAATGTAACAAAAAATAAAATACACAGAAGAAACAAGTTTGTCAGCTGACAAGAAGGGTATTAAAAATAGTAAATCTCAAGTAGAATGGCACTATCTTAAACTTAAGCAGTGTATATAGGTGTATATATAGTTTCTCCCTTAAATTAGTGCTCCTCAGAGTATTCATTATGATACAATTCTAGAATGAAGGTAATTGATGAGAGAATGTTGTATTGCATTCTATAGTTAACCACAGGGTGGCGTTTCTGAAGGAACAACTATAGCCTGGTATTTCTAAGGGTGAGCTGCTCATAGAATCAATTGTAGAGATAGAAGGGACCGTGAGGGTCATCAGCTCCAACCTCCTGCAATGCAGGAATCTCATACATGACAGATGGCCATCCAACCTCTGCTTAAAAACTTCCAAGGGAAGAGAGTCCACTGCCTCTTCTAGGAGTCTGTCCCACTATCAAATAGCTTTTACTGTCAGAAAGCTTTCTCATAACTTGAAACTATTGGTTCGAGTCCTAGCCTGTGAAGCAGGAGAAAGCAGGCTTGCTCCATCCTCCATGTGACAGTCCTTAAATATTTGAAGATGGCTATCATATCTCCTCCCAGTCTCCTCTTTACTAGGCTAAGCATACCTAGTTCCCTGAACAGCTTGTCAGTATCCTTGACATGAGCACCAAGACATGAAAATTGTGATTGCAGCCCTCAGCAAGGTAAGGAAGTATTGTTTGTGAGGTCATTTCCCTCCATGGCACCTGAGGTTGCAGCCTGAAATGAGTGGGGAGAGCCTGTGTGTGCTTATGTCACTGACTTGTTCAGGCAACCATGGTTTATATTATATTTACATTATCATGAACAAGCTGCAGTGATACTTGGTCTCACATGCTCCCTTCTTGTCCTTTTTGTGCAAGGGGAGAAGAGTGAATAACCCCACTTCCATTTTTTTACTAAAACACAGTTCTTCTAACACATTCCAACTTGTAGAACTGTGGTTCTGCAGTGATTCCTGGAGG